GGTTATCGGCTACATGAGTTTTAAAGTATTGGCATATTGGATATCGGCCAAAGCCCAATATCGTGCGTCCCTAGTTAATATGGGTTTATTTATGTAGCGGAATTCTTTACAAAGACAGTTCAAAGTGCTTTACATGAGATAAACTGTAAAAACATAAAAAACAAGATGAAAGCAGGTAGTAAAGTGAATAAAACAGTTGGACAACAATGACACCGCCGTTAACAGAAAGCTTTTAACCTTTGAACCGTCCCCCGGACCATGGACCAACACGTCTGCTGCGTGACTTTGGGTAAAGCACTTTTTTGTGCCGCGGGTTTCTTCTCTGGAACCAGATCTTTTCCAGGCTGTCTGTGCATCAGAGTGGAGCGGCTGTCACAGTCTGGCTTCTTTCATTTTGCTTTCATGGAGACGATCTGCATGTAAAAAGCTGCTGTTTGCTGTTTGGGTGATTATTACTGCAGAGGCAGATTCAGCAGACAGAAATGATTTTCTGCAGGATTTCATTGGAGTTTTCCATAATTAGCCTAAGATAGCGGCTATATTTAGCCGTGGTGTTAATGAATTAGATGACTTCTATCGATCTGTGGAGGATTATTTGGCGTATCTGAATGATTGTGGTAGATTGGAGCCATAAATGCGGAGCTTTGCAGGAGTCCTTCAGCATTCGGAGCATCATTTAGTCCTTCTCTAACCTGTTGATGTGCAAATGGATTTTTACGACCCCTGATCTTTGCTCTTTGTCTCCGCCTCTTCTTCTCTGGTTATTACCGACCGGCTTGCTTTACTGCTCTGCTCCTGGGTGGCAGGCTCAGGGCCTTTAACAGCTAATTTCCCTCCATGGGAAGAGGGAACGTCTCCAATAGAGCCTGGGTCGGCGATTTAAGGACACAGAGGCTTGATTTATCAGACGGGATCCAGAGGATGGAGATGAATGGATGTGCAGTTTGTGGGAAAAGCAGCGAGTCCTGCCAGACGAGCATGCGAGTGGGGAGCTGTAACCTGGGGTCCAGAGTCTGGGGGCGCGCAGCGGCATCACCGCTTGTCCCATAGATTCAGTCCCACAAAGAAAGAGTGAGCGCTAATGCTAAGACACAGTAACACAGCGAGCGGAGCAGCGTCCCCCTGAGGCTGAGCTGCTGCCTGGAAGCTGGAAGAAACGATGATGTTGCCTTTGGCTTCTCACTTCTGCATATTTCAAGTATTTGGATCTGCAGCTGGAAGTTTTATGTTTTTTTAAGGTAGAGCTGAACAGAGCATCTGCATTTAGAGCCGAACCAAATCACAGGAGAACCAGGTCTGTTCATCATCGAAAAAAAAACAAGGATTTCCCCCAAAATTTCCTAAAATCTTTTTATTTTTATTTTAGTTCTCACTGAAGTATCCTTTACTCCCAGCGATGCTACTAATGCTAATTCATTCATTTCTATTCACACCGTAGCTTTCAGAAGATCATTAATCCCAAATTGTATGGAGTTAATTTTGTTCCATTATTTTTCCTAAAAACATGTTTTGTAAGCAAAATTAAAAAAATCTAATCCAGAAACCAAACTTAAAAAAAACATTTTCAAAATCAGTTTTCATAAACGATTCTTTCATGGTTTCTTTTTTTTAAATTATATATATATATATATATATATATATATATATATATATATATATATATATATATTTTTTCTTCTCTTTTGTAGATTGTGTTTTACTGATCACAGCTTTCCTCTTTAATGAGGACTAAAGATGCATTTTTATTGGTCTGCTGGACGTTAGCTACAACATTTTTATCGGTTAAGGCAAGTTTATTTGCATAACACAATTCAGTACACGGATAATTCAAAGTGATTTACATGAATTAGCTAATAAAATAGAAGAAAAAAGAAAAGCAGAATAAAAGCAAAAACATTTGTGAAAGTAATAAAACAATTGGACCACAGAAAAGCAGAAAAGAAAGTTAAAAAAAAGCGAGCATTTGTGATATTCGCGAGAGAAGAGAAAATGATCTGCAAGACAAAATTTTGAAAAGAATGCAATTAACGAAACTGCATTAAAAAAATCGAATTGGACACAAAAAAGATTTGAAAAATAAACAAAAAGTTATTTTGAATTAACAACCTGAGAAAACCAAAAAGTGACCTTAAAACGTTGATTCAAACGTTATAAAGTTTTTATTCTAGATTGGATTTTTTTATCTTTGTTCTTTGCCAAAATAATGAAGCATTATTGCCTCCATACATGCCGTTTGTTTTGCACGGCTTTCCATCCTGCGCTTTGTCTCCTTCCCTCTGTTCTCTCATGGTCGTCATCCCTGCGGCGGTGAAAGCGAAGGTTTTCCTTGGACCTTCGCAGCCTCAGGTCAGCCTCGTCTCTCAGCTGAAAGATGAAGATGAGCTTCATTTCCCTTTTCCATCAAAGTCTTTGTTGCCAAATGTGAAAAAGCTGCAGACTGATTGGATTTCTGGCTGCTAATGCTCAGCAGGGCTTCGGTAGCTCTGGTTTCAGCCGCTTTAATCCAGCCAATCATCTCTTCCTGATGGCCGTCCCTCATGCAGACATCTTGGATCGCCGTGATTATGATCGATCTGTTAGGATTTAGAAGACGCCTCCGCCTTCCTCTGAGAAGTTGGAGTTTCTGCTGGATAAGATGGAGCGGCGGGAGGAAGGAGCAGCCGGTCTGTGGACCTACGGGGTCGTAGATCTGTGACCGAGCCTACGTAGATGCTGAACGATTGCTCTGTCGTAAATCAAACGAGGGGTTTGCTGGGGGGGCGGGGGGGTCTGTGCTTTGAAGTGACCCCTGGCTGTAAATTAATATTTTCTTCTTCTTCATGGGATCAAGCACTTAATGTCTGAGGGAAGAATTCAGCGGGAGGAGACGTGTTTATGTTTGATACCAGATTCTTGGCAGGCTGATGATGAATAAGAGCATGTTTGTGGGGGGGGAAAGTCCTCCCACCCCCATGGAGGAGAGTTTCCATACATGTGGAAATGTGTTTTGGGAGGTAGAGGCGGATTCTGTTCATCCAGGATGGGAGGGGGGGGGGACCCTGCAAGCGGGAGCGTGCTTCTGGAAACGGCTCCCCGGTCGGCCATTCCTCCTCGTGGCCGGCGAGTTTTAGGACCTGGAACCTGGTGAACGGGCTCCAGTCTGGCGGCCACATGTGCAGCGCGAACCGTTT